ATGGTGATCAGCATTATGAAGAAAGGCAAAGCAGGAAAGGAGAGAGAAAATGTGTGGAGAAGAATGCTGGTTTTCAGACAGGGAAAGGAAGGAAGACCTCCTGGAGATTCTGAGTGTAGTCTCGAAGGAAGTGAGAGCACGAGCTGTACAGATATCTGGGGCAAGAACTTTCCAGGAAGAGAGATCAGTGAGCCCAGAGGTTTCAGGATGGGTGTATCCCCAGAAGGTTCAAGGGACAGCGCGGAGGCTCGTGTGGCTGGATTCGGGTGAACAAAGGTCTGAGGCGTGACATAGTGATGGAGGGCACAAATCTCGGATTTGCCCAGTCCGGTACAGGAGCCAGCAGCCACAGGTGGCTGGTTACTTTTAAATAAGTGACCTTCAGTAAAATAAAAAAGAATTCCTCAGTCCAGTGCTCGACAGCCACATGTAATTAATGAGTACCACGCTGAGCCACTCAGAGAATGTCTCTCTTGTTGCAAAAGTTCGACTGAACAGCGCAGCCAAAGCCTTATAAATCACTGCATCGCGGCTTCTACTCTAAGTGAGATGAACAGAACAATCAGAAAGAGAATATAAAATGAATATGTTTTGGGCGCCTGCGTGGCTCAGTCGTTAAGCATCTGCCCTTGGCTCAGGTTATGATGCTGGGGTCCTGGGATTAAGCCCTGCATTGGGCTCCCTGCTCAGTGGGGAGCCTGCTTCTCCTTCTCCCTCTGTCTGCTGCTCCCCCTGCTTGTGCTCTCTGTCAAATGAATGAATAAAATCCTTAAGAAAATTAAAAAAAAAATGAATATGTTTTGAATGATTAAAAGAAGGCATCAAAGCCCGAGAGGATACCAAGACAGTGTAAAAAAGGGCAGATCTGAAAAAGAAACCACAGACGCAGACATTTTTTTAAAAACAAATTAGAACCTTAGTGGCTCAACTAAGCAGATGAGATAGAAGACAGAATTAGTAAACTGGGGTATTTCGTGTGGGCCAGGCAATGCTCAAGAAGCTTCACTCATCTTCACACCAGGCGTAGGCAGGTGGATGGTATTGTTTCTCCCCACAGAACAAGCCAGGAAACAGGTGCAGAGAGGTGGCGCCTTCTCCCCCAGGCAATCTCAAGTCTGTGTACCCAACCACGGTGCCATATTGTCTCTCGGGAGAGGCACTCAGGAGAGAACTCAGCACAGGAAGATAAAGAGACGATAAGGAAGAGGGACCAAGAGACGGGGATGGAAATGGAATGAGGTCCAAAGAACATCCAATAGGAATTCCAGGAGAAAGTAACAAAAACAGCAGAGGCAAGTAGTTAGTGCAAAATAGGATGGCTGAGAATTGTTAATGGTGGAGAGAGGGGAATCCTAGGATTCAAGATGCAGGAGTCCCAAGTAACATGAATACAAATAAATTCACAGAATTCATAGTCCAACACAGTAGTGAAACAGCAGCACACCAAAGGCAGAGCAGACATCTTTCAAAGCCTCTAGGTGAATTTATTCCTAGAAGAGGGAGAGCTGGGAGAAAGACCCGTGGTGGGAGAGGAGAGATCTGGGCGGTGCATACAGTGGTGGGACTGGCTGCAGGGGGAGCACAGGGGAGAGGCTGGGCAGGGCTGGGCTGCACTGTTTGGGGTGAGGACCACTAGCATGACTGTACTCAGCCCTAGCCTATATTCGAAGACTCAGCTCTTCCAAGATCCCAACGAGCTCAGGCATGCTCTCTCAAGTAAGTACAGCGTGCACGTTGCTCTCAGAACTTGAGCAACTATTTGGTGTACGAATGAAAGAGAGGCATTTTGAAAAATGAAAGAAGATGGGGTTGGAGGGAGACAAACCGTAAGAGGCTCTTAATCTCACAAAACAAACAGGGTTGGGGGGGGTGGGTAGGGAAAAGGTGGTTGGGTTATGGACACTGGGGAGGGTATGTGCTATGGTGAGTGCTGTGAAGTGTGTAAGCCTGACGATTCACAGACCTGTACCCCTGGGGCTAATAATACATTATATGTTAATAAAAAATAAAAAATTTTAAAAAATGAAAAAGAAATACTAAAAAAAGAGAGAGAGAGAGAGAGAGAGAGGCATTTTGAGAAAAGTGAGACCAACCTGGTACTTGCACTGGGACCACTGAGCTGATGTATTTCTAAAAGGCCATGCAGGAAATATTTTTGGAAGGCTATTATTCATGGTGACTCTAGTTGTGTCCATAACTGTGATTTCATTTTCTGCTAAGATTCGAAAGCCAGCGTAATAAACAGATCGCATTCTTCCTAGATGTTTTCTAGGCTGATTAGAAATATTAATGAAACTTTAAATAGGAACAAAACCCAGTGCCATTTCAGCAGCTTCTGTGGTCAGTGTAGTTTTGTTTGTCAGGAAAGATATGTTGCAGTCACAACTGTAACAAGTGACAGAATGCCATCTTGGCCTCCCAATGGGATTTGATAACAGAAGACACCAGACAGAATGATCTCATTCTCACCTTACCACAGTTGCTGATGTTGCAAAACACTGAAAAGGACATAGCATTTTCCACTTTTATCCTCTACTTTAGGCTAGGCAGTGTAGGGTTTTACCAGACCTTTCCACTCAACCACCCCATCTGCCCAGCAAGTCCACCTGGGGAAGTGCTGTTACAAAACCAAGTCCTATTCTCTCTCTGTCATGATTAGATCATGAGTATGGGCAAGAAATGTGGATGAAAATAACTTTAATTCACTGTAAACAAGTCTATTCCTGTGGACTAATATTTTAATGTTAGAAGGCTACATGCAGCCCACTGAGGGCCTGGATTAGACAAACAGCTAATTATAGAACAAAAACTTTGATAAATGTTGTTCCAACTAATTCTTACTTGTAAGGCTTGAAGGAAGGCGCATTAACATCATTTTTACACAAGAAGAAACAGAAGCTAAGGGTTAGATATGACAGACCGAATATACAAATGGATAACGCACAGGCCATGCATAAAAACAGAACTCTGATTTACACCCCACAGCAGTAAGCGCAGGAAAGCCACCCATTACCCACAGGAGCCAGCCCAGAAGGCGAGCCTGCTAGAAGTCAGGCTTGCCAGTCAGACCAGGAAGCAAAGCAAGAATGTCTGCTACGGTGATTACTAACTGATAGCCTCTCTCATTTTCTGTACGCACTTCCAACCTAGGGCCAAGCAGAGAAGGCCAAATACACATCCCTCACCAATTACCTAGTCAATCCATCCCACAGCTTCCCCATGCCAACAGCCTCCAAGCAAGGCACACCTGCAGCCCTCCCTTCTTTTTCCAACATGAAGCTTTTCCATCCCTCTGCTGCCCTTTGGCTTCTCTGCCAAAATGCAAGCAACCGTGGCGGACTCCCGTACTATTAGCTTGAGTAGACTTCACTTGCTTGGCAGGTCTTCGTTTATTTCCAGACTAACTGGCTCAAGATCCCTCAGCTATCGTGCGGCTGATCAGGGTCTGGAACCAAGACCTGCCTGACTCCAAACCCAGCTCTTTCCACTGTAACCACCTGCCCTTTTAGGAAGACTGAGCCTCAGACGCCTTCAACAGCTTGGCTAGCAGACACCAGTGAGAGGCAGGGGCACTGCGATTTGGCATAGTTTATTATTACAATTAGTATGCATATAAAACCATGTAAACTCCACAAAGTAAACAGTTTATACCCTAAAATAACCAAAATGTCTGCTGTGAACTTCCAGCATCCTATTTTAAGATTTATAGTTTCACACAAAGTCATAGTTATACAAATAGAATCATGATATATTTTTTAGGTAGAGGATTTTTTTTTGGTCCACATTTTGTTAAACAAACACACATTTTCCTCTTTGGCAAAAGAGGGCAAATTCTGCACAGTGAACTCAACGCAAACAGATAAAAAGCACTGAACACGAGGTACAGCTGAGGTCTGGGCTAATCTGGAATCAGAGAGAACGCTGATTTTGTAAGAAACAAAATCAGTTCAGTTCCCCACCATCTCAGTAGAAAAGCTAGATGTGGATCTGGCCGCTGTCCCTTTTGCAAGAACACACCTCAAATAACTTTGTTTCATAGTGACAATGTGTTATTTCTGAAGAAAGTTATGCAAAATGTGGGCGTCTGACCTCAGCAATATTTTTAATCTGAGGTACAAAAGCATCTGTCACAGTAATTCGGCTGTCATCACTGCGCCACCTTCATTCAGTTTGTTGGGAGAGCAGTTTTGGTGGCCCCTGCGTCTCCGCACTTGGCTTTGCAGACAGTTTGGAAAGGTGGATTTGCATGTGAAAGCCTGACCGCCTCTGCGGGCGGAGGTGAGGAGGAAAGCCAAGTGGGATGAAGGCCGGTACCTCGGAGACCCAGGACCCCTCAGGCAGGCAAGCCGCCGGCGGCCCGCAGGAACCTAACCCAAGTGGCGTCCAAGGAACAGGCAGCTGCTGAGGTGGTTGTGTGCTATTGTGTTTTAATCTACAATCATAATTGCTAACAACCACCCTGGTGTGTTTCTCCTGCTTCAAGTAATTTCATTCCTTCCAAAAGAATGTTAGCAATGCTTTTAGTTCTGGTTATCAAAGGAAAGGAAATGAGCCACAATAACAACAAGAGTAAGTTTAAACAGACCTGCTGCGAACATACTATCAGATAAAATAGACTTCGGGCGAACATACTATTACACACGTTTCTGCAACAGCTTCATTCTCCCACTTAGCCTCTGTGCAGAAAAGGTGATTGAGCGAACTTAAGTTACTTTAATTCATGTTAAATACAACTCTGTACAGATTGCACATTTTATACGGAAGCAGCTCAGTGTCACAGAGAAATGAAAATGCCATCTGAAAATTGTCATTTTCCTAGCCCAACAAAACCCAACAGGCTCTTGCCCGAAGGGTCAGAACAAAACCAGATGCACTACTTTGTAAACAGTAGGACGTGGGCCCTAGGGCTCCACCGCAGGATCCTATGAAATCTCAGGCACACCCGCGCGCACACGCACTCTTGACCCCCTCTCCCGTCTGCCAGGGTCGCACCCAGCCCGCCGCTCTGTACCGCAGCAGGATGCCGTCACAGTGTGCTCACAGGAGAGCGGTCATGGCCGTGGGGCTCTGGGGTTGGAGGCAGTCTCTGGGAGCCGCGTAGGCGGCGGGCTTTGCCGGGGGCTCCTGGTAGTCCCGGTGGGCGCGCTCCGCCGCCGGGCTGCCGGTGGTGGGCTGATCGTAGCCCGGGCGCTCGGTGGCGGGCGCGGGGCGCGGCGGCGTCTGGTAGGGCGCGAGCGCCGGCCCCGGACCCGGCACGTGGTAGCCGCCCTGCGCCGAGAAGGTATGCCCCCGAGCCGCGGGCCGCTCCACGATGGGCGTGGCGTACTCGGGCTCGGGGTGGGTCAAGGGCAGGGCGTACTCGTGGCGGCCCGCCGACAGGGGGCAGTGGTAGTGGCTGCCGGCCTCGGCGCCCGGCGCGGCCTTGTCTGCCTCGGTGTCCATCGGGCGGAAGGTGGAGCCCTTCCTGGTCACGGTCCCTGTGCCGATCAGGAGCGGCGGCTGGTAATCTGCAATTAGAAGCGCAGGAGACACACCGTGTGTGCGCCGCACGGACGCCGGGACTAGCCGGTTGTTTGCAGAGGCGGCGCCCTGGGGAACCAGCTTGCCTGAGTGCCTACCACATAGCAGGTAGGATGAGAAAGCCTGAGGTATAAAAGGCGGAGGTGCCACACACACGGGCTTACACAACCGAACTCGTGCTTTAGGAAGCCTCAGCGGGTCGCGGGAACCTGGAAAAGGCAGAGAGGACGCTTCCCCACACCTGGGGGACGGGAGGGAAATACCTCATGGCGCTCTCAAAATGGCTCTCGGGATGCCAGATTTTGGAGGTGGAGGCAGTAAATACTATGAGGAACGGGACTGGTTATTAAACAACCTATTAAAAAACCATGGAAAGAGAGTTTGATGTGGTCAGAGTATGAGGGACATGGGGTACTTTAATGGAAAACCAAGACCAAAAGAATAGGTTGGGGACTAATGACAATGGCGATGATACCAATGAAGCTCCCATTTATTGAGTCCTTACTCTGTGCCAGGCACTATTCTAAGATACTAAGGTATCAGTTAATGAAGTCTTCAAAAAAAATTACAATGAAGTAGTGACTATTACTCCATCTGACAAACGGAAAACAGAAGCAGGCTGAGATGAAGTAACTTCTCCAAGATCACAAAGTTAAGCACCCAATGGAGCCAGAGGTCGAGCTCAGATCCCAAGTGCACACTGTTAATTGTAGACTCCCACATAGAGAACACTGAGTGCCTTACTAGCAGGTTTGGTTTAGTTCCATAAAAGAAACCTACTGAGGATTCTCAAGAAGAGACTGGCAGAGTTAAAGGTAACCAGGAAGCTGGCTAAAGAGGGAAAGATCAAAAAAATGAGAAAAAAAGAAAAAGTGTAAGTCACACGCAAGATGTCTGGCAGCAGCCTTGGGAAGGCTATCCCTTGGAGACATGACTCAGGCAATATGTATTACCAACAATGTGGGGAGTGAGGAAAGAGGGGAGCCAAGGCCCCTTCCCAGATGTTAAGCCCAGATGCCTGAGGTAGACAGTCGGGAAGCCACTCAGAAGAGAATGTATGGAGCAGTCATGGGGAGAGTTAGGAACAATGGGTTCAATTTTGGACCCACTGAGGAACTGGTGACATTCGCAGGTAGTCCAGCAGGTAAGATTACTGACTTTTGGGGGACAGGGAGGGAAGTCGGGGCTTAGCAGCTGAGCAGACAAAAATGCAAGGAAGGGCTCTCTATTGGGAGCTCTGGAGCAGGGGGGTGCAGCTGTTGAGGAGAGAGACTGTGGCTAAGTGGGGGGGAAGAGCGAGCCCCGGGGGCTCTCACAGTCAAGGTGCCCAAGAAGGACCACACAGTGGGGGAGGAGGACAGGCTGCACCAGAAGCTAAAGAACAATGAAAGGAAGAAGAAGACAGACAAGGGGGTCTTCCCTCTTGTTTTATCTACAAGGTAGTACTAGAATTGGTGGGGGTCAAGGGGTAAGAAATAAGAAGATGGATTTTGGGTGGAGAGATGCTCTCTTTGCCCTGAAGCAGCTCAAGCAACCTTTCCAGTGGTGGTCTTCTGACTGATACACACATGCACCACCTGGGAACTCCTGGGCCAGTGGGCCCGGGCGTGGCCTGAAGGCCCACATTTCTAGCAAGCTCCCTGATGCTGCTGGCCCTCAGAATGCACTTTGGGGAGCGAGAAGCTAAGCAGTGCTCCTAGAGTGCAGTTAGTGATGCCTACGTATCTGAGAACCGAGACAAGTCTGCAGAAAGAGTACACAAATTGAGAGCAAGTGTTTAGAAACTCAAAGCAATTCAAGACTAACTTTACATCCACTGCTCTAATAAAAGAATTAGAGCTTTGTATTTTGTATGTCTTTTTAAAAATGTTTTGCCCTAATTTATACAGTTGACCCCAAACAACAGGGGTTTAAACTATGTATGTGCACTTATAGGCGGATATTTTTTTCAATACAGCATAGTACTGGCAATGTGTTTTCCTCTTTTTTATGATTTTCTTAATATTTTATTTTCTCTAACTTACTTTCTTCTAAGAATATAATATATACGGGCACCTGGATGGCTCTGTCAGTTAAGCGGCTACCTTTGGCTCGGGTCATGATCCCAGGGTCCTAGGGTTGAGCCCCCCATTGGGCTTCCTGCTCAGTGGGGAGTCTGCTTCTCCCTCTCCTTCTGCCCCTCCCCCTGCTTATGGTCTTTCTCTCTCTCAAATAAATAAATAAAATCTTAAAAAATATATATATATATATATTATCTAATGCATAAAACATATGTTAACTGTTTATGTTATTTCTAAGGATGGATTCAACAGTAGGTTGTTCTTGTCTGCAATAATCTATGAGTAGTTAAGTTTTGGGGGAGTCAGAAGTTATACATGGATTTTTTACTGCACAGGGGGGCCAGCATCCCTAACCCCCTTGTTGTTCAAGGGCCAACTGTATTGTATTTTACAAAAGTATTAGTTCTCGATGAATTAGAAATAATTTTTTAAAAGGCAAAAGAAGAAAAAAAAAGGATCCTTCCCCCAAGACAGTTTGAGAAGCTTGACTTTCAGGGATGACTTATCACGACACAGAGGCCATTCTAACACTGGACAGCTTCTTTCTCTCCCAGCTCATCTTCTATAAGGGCAGGAGCTGTGCTTAATTCATCTTTCCAGTCCCTCTTTCTTATGTCTTCACCAAAACCTTAGCAACAGATTAATTCAGGGCTTCCAGATTTTTGTGGTACCTTGGGGCCACTGCTATAGGTCTGTTCTAGCCCGTCAGTGTACCAGCCTCGTCTGAATGGGCTTATTTCCCTCCTGGTCTCCCTTCTCCCAGAAGCAGCACTTCCCACCCGAGAGCACCGTCCCAGGGGGTTGCCACTTACCTGCCATATCACTTGTGATGAGATCTAACTTTTGCGTCATTTCCTTTTCATTATCATAGCTGATAGTGAACTCAGTGGACTGATGTCTGGCAAAGGGATATTTGATCTGCTTCCAACAGTCTGGAATAAAGATAACACAAAACAAACTAATATCTCAGAAGCATAACACATGTTGTCCATGATGTGTTTCTTGATGAGTCGGGGTCAGACCACCTCCTGCCGGCTGACCTTACGTGTAAAGAGAGTGGCCACGGCTCCTCAGATATATGTAGTAGAGACAGCATACTGCAGTCGTTACAACAGTGAACACCATCCCAACCATGCTTTCCACCTGCCTTCACGATGTATTTGTGTACCCCTCGTGTCCCAGATTATCCCTATGTTACACATGGTGGCATGGCTTCCCATCATCTGCACAGATGCGACACTCGTGTCTCGGGAACCAACACTTCTGGCTCTTGAGACTCTGCAGAGGTGGTGTCCCAGAGGGCTCCTAAGGTTCAGAGGTGTCCTGCCCTGCTGCTGTCTCTCTGGACTGTAGATGACTCATTGCATGGGCATCCTGTAGTCCTAAGGATTCTCTGCAACTGAACCTGAACCCTGCCTGGTTCTTCCTTTGCTTTCCCAGGATGGGAAATACCGTGGAAGCCTGGAGATGTGGGTCCAACAACGTACTTTGTGAAAATGGGGCTTTTATAACTTCTCCTGGGTGACAGGCAATGGGGTGGCCTAAACTCCAATACCCTCCCTCCAAAAAAAATGAATGTTGATAAATGATGGGATAATGCTGAACAAAAGTAAAAGTAACTGGCCATGAAAACTTCCAGTTGAAATAAAGAGATAGGATACAATATTCCATCCCTTTTAGGCTTGCTAACTTAAAGGCTATAGAGCTTATTTTTTTAACCACGTTAAGTGTGTGCCACAGACCTAATCATGCTTTTAATTTGCAGACCCTGTCCCTTCCCTAAGACAAAATAAAACTGTAGAGTTTTCTGTAAACCAACCTGTTTTCTGGGCCTTAGCTGATCCATATGGATTTCCTTTCTTCTTCTTCCTATAGAGACAAAAGAATCTTACTTGAAAAGCTTCCTAAGTGGTAAATGTTATTATAGAAGAATACGTGAATTCTTCAGAAGAATAATTTAGTAGAAGAATTCTTGTAGAATTTTAGAATTTTAGAAGAAGAATTCTTTAGTAGAAGAATACTTTCTACCCCTACCCAACTTGTTTTTAAAACATGTATTAACATTTTATCTTGGCCAAAGTAAGGCTGCTTCTCTACACATGAACATCAGAAAAGCAAACAGTTTGGTTTTGTGATTATTTGCATAATTAGAGAAGAAACTTAAAAATGCCAAGGCACATACTTTCTAAAGGCTGCAAAGATTCCTATTCCAAGCAGCAGGGCAAGGAGTACCGGCAGAATTGTAACAGCTGTGATGTTTATTCCTAGGAAGAGGGAAAGCCGCCATATTACAACAGAAATGAGCTACAGCCCAAGTTCACAGTCTAAAACTCAACATTGATTTGAAAGGTCTTCAACGGTTTAATACGGGGAAAATGAATATGTGCTAGGCATTTCCTGATATCAGAAAGCAAACAGAGAGGATACAAAATTTCTGGCTCAAGTTTAGGAAAATAATTTTTTTTTCCCAAAATGGCAATTTTTGGTGGTCTTCAGGGATTAGCATTTACTCTGAACTTGTTGGGACGACATTAGGCTTCACAATCAGAATTGAAGGGGAAGGTTTCACGCTGGCTCACGCTGGCCCACCCTGCTGGTTGGGAGGTAATCTGCTCAAGAAACCAGTTCCCCCAGATGGTGGGAGGCTTTGCACGTGTGCACTAACAGGAGCTGGGGGAAAGGGGAGAAGAGCCCTGGGCTTCCCATTAGCAGGGCTCTGGAGCAGTGGGCTACGAGGAAATGCAGCCCGATGACCTCAGAGAGCATTTCCACTCTGCTCACGGAGCACCACATCTTCCTACTTTAAAAAAGGAAGTCACTTTAACAGCTACTAAAGCAGGCCCCAACCTTGTACACACTATGCAAACTAAAGGAGGAATATTTGTTCTTCACCCTTTATCTGTGATCCCTGAGAAGGGATCATCAACAAAGGGATGATCAGGAGTGGAAATGTGTAGTTCATGAAATGGGGGGGAGGTGGGGGTGGAGGAGGATATAAGGACCTTCAAAAGGAACAAAAGTCGTAAATAACTGGGTTATTATTTACCAGAGTGGAAATTTGGGAGAAATCTAAGAACTTAAACTTCCAACAATAAGGGAATGGTTAACTAAGTGATGGTATGTCCATAGGAAAAAATACTATAAATGTATTAGCAACTGTGTTTTTTAACTACTTAATAACACTGGCAGATGCTCATGATACAATGTTAAGCAAAAAAATCTATGCTACAGGACAAAATATGTGGTATGCTACCATTTTTTCTCAAAGTTATAGATAAATATGGTTGAGTGGATACAGTGGAATACAGTGATTATCTGTGGATGCTAATTTATGGCTTATTTTTACTCTCATATTTAGATCTCTAATCTTCCTGAATTTTATAAAATTACACAAATCATTTTATATTCTGAAAAAAATGTACTTTTAATGTTTACTACTTGAATAGGTTATATGTTTACATATTCAAACTTCAAAAAGTTTATGGAAGTCTCCCTCCTACTTCTGTTCCTCCTCTACAGGAAGCCAGATTATGTTTCTTGACATTCTTCCAGAGATATTGGAATGATTATCTATATATATATTCATTCTTTATTCCCTTTTTTAAAAAAAAATTATTTATTTGAGAGAGAGCACAAGCAGGCAGAGGGTCAGAGGAAGAGGGAGAAACAGACTCACTGTGGAGCAGGGAGCCCAATGTGGGTGGGGCTGGATCCCAGAACCCTGGGATCATGACCTGAGCCGAAGGCAGACACTTAATAGATGGAGCCACCCAGGCACCCCTCTTCATTTCCTTTTTTGCACACTTGGTAGAGTGCTACATGGATTGTCCTGTCCTTTGCAAATTTCCTTAAGTTTGTCTCTACCCCAGAGCTTCCCCTATTACTAAACATATTTATTTTTCATGGCAGCAGAGTATTCCATTGTATGGAGGTGATAATGATTTTTCCATAAAATCTTTACCCAGAGTTTGAAGGGCAAATACTGCTTTTTCTACTTACAGTATTGTATGGAAGAGTTGTGTTTATACATCACTTTACACACACCCAGCTACCTGTGGACCCTCTGACTCCAGACATTCATACGACAGAGAAAAAAGTTTTTGTTGAAGCTACTGTAATCATCACATAGAGTCTGGTTATCCTCCTGAGGAAACCACAAAACAGTTAGTGCTCTACCTGTGGGTACTTCTGGAGAGGGGACGGATTTTGTGATCATCTCATCTTCTCTTTCAGTGGCACTGACAGTGTTTGGACTTGCTTTGTGCAACACCAATGAATCATTACCTAAGGCAGAGGAGATGTTGGAAGAACCCCATGAGTAACAACCATATGTGAGAGGGCACGAGCAGAGCCAAGTAACTCACTGACTTGCCTTGTGTGATTTGGCAGCCAAAGAGCTCCACTTTCAAGGCTATCCTCTGGTGCCACGTCTGGGGGACAACCCGCACGTATCTAGCCACGATGGGAGGGATGAAATTATTCCTCACTGGATCCCGAAAATTAGAGTTGCCCTGAAACACCTGTAGAATCAAATAACTTTGACCTGAAGATGCTGGTAGTTAGCTCCTCTGTCTTTCCCACCCAACCCCTAGCTGGTTGTAGGACACCAAAGCCAGGAACCCAGGTCTGCTGTAGTTCTGCAGACACACTTGGTAGTGAAGCTATAAGGCTTTGCCAACAAAGGCTGAGTTACCTAACTAAGGCAGTGCTGCAGATCTGTTTTCTGGAAACACACATAAAACATTTGGCGACCTGCTCTCCCACTCAGTTCTTTCCTCCAGTTTCTCTTACCTTTTCTTTATTACTCGCAATTCCTTTATAGGTCCTCCACTTGGAGTTGTTGTTTTTGAACTTCATCACGAAACTCTTAACGTAAAAGTTGAAATTTGACTGTGTGGATCCTGTGGTCATAATTCCTTGTAAGAAAATATTACTGATAGGTTAGATTTTACAATATATATAGCATGTAGTACAATTCCAGGTTTCTTTTCTCTTTCTTTCTTTTTTTTTTTCTTGTTTCCTCCTTGAAATCTTAAATCATTTTATAGACCAATTATTCTTATTTGCATTTTGAAACCTGACCACAGCTGAGTGTTTCCATACTGACAACATGCCATAAAAAGGTTTCATCTAGGGGTGCCTGGGTGGCTCAGTCGGTTAAGCATCTGCCTTTGGCTCAGGTCATGACCCCTGGATCCTGGGATCAAGCCCTGCATTAGGGAGCTTGCTTCTCCCTCTCCCTCTGCTGCTCCCCCTGCTTGTGCTCTCTCTCTCTGTCAAATGAATAAATAAAATCTTAAAAAAAAAAAGTTTAATCTAATCCATATATCCACACTTAAAATCTGCACACAGGCTCTTCCCATCAAGACAATGTGAAGGCCTGTTACTTTTAGAAAAGACACAGAATACTTTGATGTAACTAAAGAGGTACCTATGTAGCTCAGAAATATAATTTCAACTGCCCGTCATTTTGCATTTGTGAAACTGTACCTGTTATTTTCTTTTTCTCTCCCAAATCAGTCTCTAGCCACTCGCGCTGTTTGCGGTTCTTGCCACTGTCCCTCGAAGCCCATGACAGGTCTTGGCCCTGAACTTGGGCATGGCCAGGAGACCAGTGAACCTCTTCTCCTATCTCACTGACCCACTGCCAAGAAGCTCTGATCTGTGTTTCAGGTTCCAAACTCAATGATCTGCTGCAACCTAAAAAAAAAAAAAAAAAAAAGCCAAGAAAGTATTTCAGATATAAACACACACACACACACACACACACAAACAAAAGTACTCCAACTCATCTAGAATCATTTAGTTGATTTATTTCCATTCTGGTATCAAATCAACTGTTTAATTATGAGTTTTTAATAACCTGTACTTTTCATCTGACTCATTTGTACTATGGTCCCTTCCACTTGCTACTTTTCTTTTTAATGGATCTCACTGAAGTCACATCCCCTATAAATGACATCTCTTTGTTCCCACTATAGATTTTCCTTTTGAGATCTCTAAATTCACTCTCATTTCAGCAAAGTACAATGTGTCTTAAAGGTTTAAAATACCGAAGTTTCTTCTCATTTGATTAGAGGGGACTTTATTGTCTGTGTCCTTGAAGAGAAAGGACATCCGGGTGCTCTGAAGATCAGTAAATTGTACTCAACATTGTCCTTAGGACCTTACTTTTACCATGTCCAAGACAATGCGGCGGTTAGCAAATAAAGGCTACACTCTTCTCCTGGACAAAGAAGACATACTCATATTGTTCTCCGGGAAACATTTTACTTTATGTTGAGAGAATATTTCCACAGAATGTATTTTGTGACGGAGGGGCTAAAAAGCCTTTATTTTGCACACTCACGTTCAATCACTTTATTCAAGATAAACATAAATCAAACTGTAATATTTAAAAACTTTTCCTGGGGTGCCTGGATGGCTCAGTGGGTTAAAGCCTCTGCCTTCAGCTTGGGTCATGATCCCAGGGTCCTGGGATCGAGCCCTGCATTGGGCTCTCTGCTCAGCGGGGAGCCTGCTTCCCCCTTTCTCTGCCTGCCTCTCTGCCTACTTGTAATCTCCGTCTGACAAATAAATAAATAAAATCTTTTTAAAGAATAAATAAATAAAAGCTTTTCCTGTTAAAATCTAACAGGCATTTATCTTAACATAAATGGCATTTTGAATTTTTACTTTTTTGGCATAAAGTTTGACAGAGCTTAGATTATAAAGAAAAATATGTTCTACTTCATGCTAATTGAGTTACTGTCTCGGTGTTTTGTGTGTTTTTTTTTTAAGATTTTATTTATTTGACAGAGATCACAAGGAGGCAGAGAGGCAGGCAGAGAGAGAGAGGGAGAAGCAGGCTCCCCACTGAGCAGAGAGCCCGATGCGGGGCTCGATCCCAGGACTCTGGGATCATGACCTGAGCCAAAGGCAGAGGCTTTAACCCACTGAGCCACCCAGGTGCCCTGTCTCGGTGTTTTTAAGTTACATCATACTTGGTGCTGTGTGACCTGTGGGGGGGGGAAAGAAATAAAATCCTTTAAACCATATCATCGGAGGGGCCTGGGAGGAAACACTACCACTGAAGACTTTAAAACATCAAATTCTTAGGAGAAACAGGATCCTTACCATTGGAGGTAAAGAGAAATCGCTTGTCGGACAGGGAACCACTGCAACAATAAACACAAACAGGAGGAGGTGAGTTGCTCACCTGGATCGCAATGACGGACACAGCACCACAGCCCAGGTACCACAGAACCTTCCCGCACCTCATGGGATCCTCGCCGCACCCTGGCAAGGCTCTTAGCTTCTTCGTCACTGGCCTTCTAGAGAGAAACTCAGCACCATTGAAGGGAAGCAATGTTCCTCAAGCCACCCAGGTGGCAAGTGTCCAGGACTGTGAGTCACTGCTGTAGGGTCAACATCTTGCGTGGTTTCCATCATTGCCACATTGTGTGGGGAAGGGAAGTGCACACATACAGTCTCGGGAACAACCTTAAGACCCAGTTAATTAATCCCTGGCATTGGAGGCAGAAAGAAATGACAGCCCTGAATGCTCCCGTTTGCTTCAGTAGTCACCCTGACGCACACCGGCCGCGGTCTATCGTCAAGGACCACGGAGAGAAATGAAGAAGACAGGCCACTTTTTGAAGAATGACCATGTCATTTGTAGGCTGCCTTCTCCACAAACTTTGCTCCTTCCCCGAGGGGCCCTGCTTCAGCAGTGCCACTCTGGGGCAGCCTCAGCTCCGTCTCCCTCCAGTCACGCTGCTCCCTACTGTGGCAAGCGACACACAGCCGTGAGCCATCCCAATACTGGATGACAGGTGCGGCGGGAGAAAATCTCACGGACCTGGCCTGAGCTGGGCCTCGCTGCTGGGGTACAGTCCCATGGCTGAGCTGGCATTAATCCCTGGGCCTGTGGACTCAGATTTCTACAGAGTGTGGTACTCTCACAGGCAAACATCCTATCGGCCTTGTTCTGCCACTGTCTCCTTCTGTGGGGAACAGATTCCTAAGGCCCAAGACCATATCTACCTTTTTGTAAATCCCTTACCAACTCAACAGCATAAAAATACGTAGAAAATCCGGAGTTCTCAAGATGAATCTTGTGTGCATAGTACTCACTATATTGATACTAGAGAAAGCCCAAGACGTAGATGTCACTGCTGTGCTCAATTACTTTACAATCTGAGAGTACTTCTTGTTCTTTAAATGTTTAACTCTGAATTATATCCGGCAACCATGGACAGAAAGAGTCCTTAACGTTGAAATCCTCGGAGAACCGAGAAAGCGTCTGGACAAGAGTCTAAGAACCTTCCCATCAAAGCTCTTGTGGCTGCTGTCGTTTCAAAGTACCAGGCAATCTAACTCCCTGGAATGGACGTTTTCGTCCATCTTCCTTGTCCACTCTCCAGTGGAGACTCCACAGCCCTACCATTCTGAATAAGGTTCTTTTATAACCTCTGCACTGACTACAGCGCAGCCACCCATCACTTCTCCCAGGAAAAGGTGGACCCACGGGGGGCCCGGCACTTGCCGCAATTCACGATAGCACCAAAGGTGGGGAGAAGATCCAGCTCTCCTAAGTTTTAAAGAAAGGTTCACCTTGTTCACATTCGAAGTTTCATTAATTTATTTAGAGCCTCTATGTGACTGCTTTTTCCATTTTTTCTCATGTTCCTGCACTAAGTATTATACTTAAAATTTTACCCAAATAAAGCCACCTGATATCGGGGTAACTCGGAGGGCCTCAACTTGCTCCCACTGCCATAGGACACTAAAATATTTATTTGGCTGTTGTTGAAAAAGAGAAGTTAGGGAAAGAAGGATAACTGTGGAGTTAGCCCTGGGAAGACACTGCCAAGGAAGGCTCTGCTTGGAACAGCTCTCTGCCTGGCTCTTCTCTGTGATCAGCTGGAATACGTTTTTTCCATTGCCCTCTAGTAAGCTAAGTACAACCCCTCAGAGAATTCTATCGGTAAATGAGCCTCCTCTTTTAGAAACAAAGGGGTTCTGAGGCGGTCACATATCAGGGTAAATGAATTCAGTCTGATTACTGGAGTTGCCAGCCTTCCCCGAGGGCTCTCCAGAAGCAATCAGGAGGAGGCTGATGTAAACCAAAAGAAAGGCCTTCGCTGCTGGTGGTGTGAGCCTTCACCCTCGTGCTGAGGTCAGGCTCTCTTCCTGATTCCATTCTGGTCTCCTCAAATCAAGGAAGTGACCCGACCCGGATGAATCCCAGAAGAACCCTAGATATTTACTTTAGGGACTCCTTCTTCCTCAGTGGCAGCGCTTCCTTCTGTGTTTTTTCCTGAACACCAAACAATCATGTGTGGGAACAGAAGTTCAATGACCGCAGGCGCACTGCTTCCTCCACAGCGAACCAGCACAGATCAAAACAGCTGCCCCCCAAAACCTGGGAGTTGGGATGAGTGCAAGAGATGTGTTCACATGTCACTTACTCCTCTCTGCTCAGGACAAAGAGCCAGAGCAAAATCAGAGCTAGAAGGAAGAAGGGACCTTGAAATAATTCTGGACTTTCTCTTCTCACCAAAACAAAAGTCCAACAATTTGTTCAAAATAACCACATGCGGTGTGAAGTAAAACTCTTCCTCATTCATTCAAGGTGGACACTTCTGGACTCTTCTCTTTGCACCAACACTTAATTTCCAATTACATAAAGTGACCTTATCTGTATCAAGCCCAGAAGTAATTAAGAACTTGTCTACTTCTCTTTGACGATTTAAATAATTGCTTTTTCAAAAGTAAAATAAAATCCTAGTAGTACAAGCTCAACTTTTTATGATCCTACAAAAGAAGCATCGAAATGTATACAAACATAGGCAAGAGATTCCAAAAAAACAGATTTAAAACCAGAGCAATTCTTTGCTCCTATCCGGAGATGCGGTTCCCAACAAATCCAGGCCACAGCACGGCATATTCCTGAAATAGTGCCCTGGTGTCAATATATCAGACCATAAAAAATGTAAACAGAAACAGATCCTCAAAAGTCAAGATCAAGCTGACACAGCTTAGTGTGTATAAGTCATCACTTTTATTATAAATCGGAATATAATATTTATGTTCCAAAAACCTTGAGGCAAATACATAAGTGAAAAAATATATGTACGTACATATGTGGCACATATGTATATAGATTACATGCATGCATATATTTATATATAGTACATACGTGTAAATGCATACATGTATGTATAAAATACATGTGTGCATACATAAAATTAAATATAATACACACATATATACATTTTATTTATTTGAGTCAGGATTTTACTTTCTAAAGGTACTAAGCTTTTAGATCTTAAATTTGGGACTGATTTGTCTTTGAATGTTCACATAATAGGAAAAGAACACTTTGGGGCCTCTCAAAGCTAAAAGTCTTATCCAGGGGGAAAGGAGAGGGGAGTCCTACCCATTGTAAGCAAGGAACACAAAGACAGAGTGGTGAGCCTGCCCATCAGAGGGCAGACTGCATGCACCCAGTCCTTAGTGGATGGCTGCCTTCTATAGATTATATACAGCATCACTTGTGTGGCTTCTGAAAGACATGGACTGGAAAACCCTGTCCAGTTACCCCACCTGCAGCCCCGACTCAGGAATGCCCATGGGAGCTCTGCCTTTTCCCTCAGCCACCCGCCAGCCAGGGCCCTGGACGCCCGCATGGCGCACTCACTGCCACAACTCCTCTGTGTCCCTCTCTGGGCTTTGACTCTGCTCTCGTGTCCCCATATGCCTGGATCCTGCCTCCCACCAAACCCAAGACTTGCCTCTTTCATGAAGGTGACCTAACCAATTTCTCCCCGAACTTCAGCCATGGCTTCCAAATCCCCTCTCCTGTGAACTTAAGACAAAACCTCAATCCAGATATGGGTATTGGTCCCTAAGTTCACTTACGAGTTCATCAACTGGTTCTTTGGAACTTAAGATACATTTTCCCAAAAAACAGTATTATAACTCAGAGTCAGAATCCCCATTTGAACTACAATATTACTAAACTAAGCTGTAATATATTTAAATAAAAAGCAGAAGGGGAAGGAAAAAAAAAAACCTACTGTATAACTTTCTCAAAATGACATCAGAGTCACTGTATTGATGCTAACCGGGGAAGCTATCAACCCCCTTATGTAATTTCTTTTCACCAGTTGAGATGGTCCACACCCACTGGGAGAACAGAACAGAGAAACATGATTGTGTTCTTTCTGCACACAAGCAGGGACCACAGCAAAATGGCAGGGTAGGGGGTTAGAGCAGGGATGGTTGGTGATCTGCACATGGTCTAGGGAGTGGTAGAGGATACAGGCCCTGACCTCCTTTTTCTTACTTCTGGATCCTGAAATGCCTGTAGTCTCTCTTGTGCCGTATTTTTGGGACCAAGACTATGTGACAACCTGTCCAAAAACACGGGGTCATGGTAGCAGGAAGACATTTCTGGGGCCGATAGGGAGGGAGTGAGAGGTAAACATAGTGGCTTGAAGATCACCATTCTCTCACAAGGCATCCACCCGAGGACAGCCTCCCTCTAGCCCATTCCAAGCTGCCTGTTTCTATGGGTAGACAACCTGGACGACAAGGCAGGCTTGTATTTAGTTCTAACAGCTCTTGTTTTCTACTCCAGAAGCTGAGGAAACCTAAAAGCATTAAAAGCTCAGGTTGAAGTGTTTAATACAATTGAACAATTGACATACTTTTTTCTCATGAAGCTGAAAGAGCAGAGGACACCAGCAAGCAGAGAGGTGTATGTTAACAAAAGCCCTCTTTTTTTTTCACTTCCCAACTATTACTCATCACTAGGAGCTTGTCTCTAGGGGATCTTCTGGGTAGCTTGGCAGTTCTATGGAGGCTTATTTTAGTTCCCCGTCTCCTTCAGTACCTTTGGCAATATTGCAGATAACCAGTAATTTATTAAAACTGGGAAAACTGAAAACGGATTGCCTTTATTTTCTCCTCCCAAAGAACCTGAGAGTAGAAACATTCCTTCGCTCCAGACCTTCAGAGATGTGCCATTTCAACTCACTTGTCTGCATAACCAGTGAGCGTCTTTACTGTTGGGCTGATCTTCCACAAAGACACCGTAAATGCTGCTTGAAGCACTCACACACATTCTTTGCAGCTGATGAACCCTTGGTATCATAAACCCACTGTCCCTTCCAAATTGTGAGCTGATAAATTATGCTTTTGGGGTTACCTTCTACTCAGAACAAAAGACAAAGTACTTACTCTTTTGAGAGCACACCGTTGGCCAGGATTCCTTCATATCGACTTAGCCCTTTGCGCTGAAGCACACTGATCTGACCGCCCAACTCGTCTGCAATGATTCCTGCATGGATGGCGGCTTTGCACAATAATGAGGTCTGAAATACAGCAATGTCATCACTCACAGCTACTCAAGAACACATTTAAAATATGGTGGGAGGTTTCCATCTTCTTATAACATGTGGTCAGGATCCTTATTTGACCCACGACATTGCTACATTATAATTCATTTAAATAAAAAGTAAAAGAGGAGGGGAAAAATTATTGTATAGCCATCTCAAAATGACTTCAGAGTTCCCACATTTACACTAACTTGGGCACCCATCCACTAGAGAGGGAAGTAGGTAATTTACAGTCGTGGTGGCCCCCCAGGGAATAATGCCTCCCAACCGTCATGCCCCCGTGTAGGTACTCCAATTGATGGCATGGACCTCGTAACTTGCTTGGTTCTGCTGCAGATGACACAGCCCAACCAACTGCCACACATGTCATTGTGGCCACCTTTGACCCTCTGGCCCCACCTGACGTGCCACATGACCGCAGGAGCTCTTGTAGACAAGGGGAGATTAAGAACTGACCAGTCCAACCTGCTGACCCACACACTCATCAGCAAATAACACGGCTGAGGAAGGAATAGCAGAGGGAGAGGGAGAAGCAGCTCCCTGTAGAGCAGGGAGCCCCATGCTGGGCTCCATCCCAGGACCCTGGGATCATGACCTGAGCCGGGGGCAGGCATCCAACCAACTGAGCCATCTAGGCACCCCCATGGCTGCAATTTTAAGCCACGAAATTTTGGGGTGGCTGGTTAAGCAGGAACAGATAACTCCTCAGTTTCTTACATCTGCTTTTCCAGATACACCAAGGATTATTTGAGAATGTGAACCTTCCATACCACAATTTCCTTTTATAATTAATTCAGAGATTGAACAAGGCACCAAAAAACAAAACAGTGATGTCAACCACAATATTAAATGGAACAAAAAACTTCACAAAGGTCTTAGAGCTATGAGAATGAGCAACCCAGAGCCCACAGCCTCCATCTCATTTCCTGAGTCTCTTCTGGAAGTGTCAAACAGCTGGCATTTGCTCAGTCCTCCAACACTGCTGCCTGGAGTGACCAAGCAAGTGGGAGCACCTGACCGGCAAGTTAGCAGGTGGCCCTGGGACTGGAACTGGCCCACTGGCAGTGGGGCTGGGGTAGGACTGAAACTAGTTCATTAGGTGCCCAGGCCCCGAGGTCCCTGTGGGCACAGACCTGTGCGGGGAGGTGATTAGGCAGTCAGCCCAGGACTGAGGAGCTGAGGAACAGCATTTTCTAAATAAATTTTAGCAATGCCTCACTTCTCCATGATGGCTAATGCCAAACTGACAAAAGCAGCTCATGAAATTGTGTCTCAGTAAGTGGACTTGGGAGTTTCTCTTTGTGTTAATGATAACACTGTTGCCTTAATTTGCCATAGAACAATTCTCTTGGATTAAGGTTATAATATCTGGGGCACCAAGGAGACCAACCGTATTTTGTAATAACATGGTTGCAATGAAATTGAAAATTTCTGTGATCTTTAATTGAGAGAGCATGTGTTTCCCAAACTAGATTAAATCTGGAAAATGAGTCAGGTTTGCAATAATGACTATCACAGACAAAAGAGGGGAAGAGTTCCTGACAGAAAAGAAATATGAAAATGCTAAAAGACAGATGCAGATACTACCCTCCTTGATTTTGGAGAAAAAAAGAATTAGAAGATGCAAAAAAAGATAATGATCTTTAAACTAAATAGGCAGCTTGTGGGTGTTTTTTGTTTTTTTTTTTCTGGAATGTTCTTTTATTAAACAGGTTTGTTATCATTGTTTTGGATTCTTGGGATACAAAATGCAGCTGCCAATTGTAATGGAAAAGCTCTGAATTTAAATTTGGTAATTTAGCTCATCATCCTGGCTTTGCCTCTAACTCTACCAAGTGTGACTAAGTCATGTCACTACTCTGGACCTGGCTTCCCAATTCCTCTGTATAATAAAAAGGCTGGACTGCATGATGTCTGGTATCTTTTCTAGTGGGTGTCATCTTGTGATTCTAATGGGCCCCCTATGTACCTACTATAGGGTCCACACACACCTGCCCAGCTCTCTCAGCCCCAAAATGAAAAACAAATTGGTCCAGTGGTCTACTGGGCAGATAATCCCACTGTCCCTGGGATCATCCACCTTCCTTGGAATTTGTTATGGGGATGGGATGGTCTTTATCCCAGGAGCCCTGCCTAGTGGGTAGCTCTCACTGGACTCGGCATGTCCAAGGCCTCCTTGGTTACAAAAAGCCAGGTTCACAGGTCAACAAGCAATAGGACCTAATACAAGCATCACGGGCCAACATACATTCCCCTTCTCCACAGTGACCACTATTGAGGGACCCCAATGGTATGTATATAACCTTTTCATGGAATTTATTCAATTGCAGCTCACGTTTTCCGTAATATCAAACATGGGCCATAGGATACAACTTCAAGCCATCAGATCTGGCTTTTACAGTATTATGATAAAATTATTAGCCCTTCCCAGGATTGTTTCCTTAAAAAAAAAAAAATCCCTCTCTTAGCCAACCAACTTAAATAAAATTGATGTTCACTTAAATTGGAGATTTTTGTTATTAATCTTAAAAATTTACTTTCACTGGACTTGACCCTTAAAAATTCCCTTTTGAAGAGCAGCAGAATTTATACTTTGATTTTCTAGCTATTTTCGAGGTCCAAGCCTTGCTGATATGTAAATATAGGAAAGCCACATCACTGGTCTGTTTTAATTAGTGAACTGCACTCAAATGAAATAATTTAAATATAATTCTGTAGGAAAAGAAACGCAACAGACACTGAGAAGAACACCTGCCTGGCTCATGAAATTGCAGGTTGATGGTATGAACGACTTCTGAAGTTCACTGAGCCATAAGAGATGGCCAAATAGATCAGCATGAAATAAGACTGCATCAGCTTTCAAAGAAGTTATCAAATCATCCCAAAACTGGAGCATTTTCTTATCTTCCTTTAGGAAAAGTCAACTTATACTAAAAAGTATTAATACAGTATTAAAATAAAGTTTAATGTAGGACTAAATAATTTAGCTTGCATTTAATAAAACATGAATAAAGCACATATCTTAAAATGATGGTAAAATGTTAAATTATAGGACACCTAGATGGCTCTGTTGTTTAAGCATCTGCCTTCGGCTCAGGTCATGATTCTAGGGTCCTGAGATGGAGTTCTGCATTGGGCTCCTTGCTCAGTGGGGAGTCTGCTTCTCCCTCTGCCTGCTGCTCCCCCTGCTTGTACTTTCTCTCTTTTTCTCTCTGACAGATAAATAAATAAAATCTTTTAAAAAAAAGTTAAATTATAAAAATGTAATTCCACATTCTATCATATGAATTGTTCCTATGTTGCTACAGTCTTTGTAATTACCATATTGGCAACATTTTCTTTACAAAACATGCATTTACTGTAGAAATGTTGGAAAATATATTTAAAAAGTCACTCATATTGCCATCACCTGGAGACAGTCATGCACGATTATAACGTATTTCCCTCTGGCTTTCTATGGGTGTACAACAGGCCTGGTTTCTCCTCTTCTCCTCCTAAGCCAGGAGCACACTGTGCACTGTATTCCTATATTTTAAGTACTTCTTGAATATTTGGGGTGAATGGAGAATTTACTAAAACAACTTATTAAGGGATGTCTTCCACTTAAAACCAGATGGTACAGTCAGCAGGCTTGGGAGAAGGTGCCAAGAGAGAAACTGTCCTGGGAGCTTGTTATTTCTGGTCTCCAGGTGAGGCAGGTCTCAAAGAGAAGCCCATCCTACGTAACTGGCATGGGAAGCACATACTAATATAGAAGTCAGGGAGGCAGAGTCACATAACCTCAAGAATTCAAAAAGACCGTTAAAGTTCTCTACTGATATTCCTGACAGTTACTTTCTCCGCCCCACAGCACCTTCCCAGACATATACAGGCCATACTGGACAAATGGTTGTAACACTCACACTTGACACTTGAAGGGACTAGAGCTCACCATTTCTTAAGACATCTCATCCCACCTTAAACTGCTCAGTTCTTCCTCGTATGCAATTGAATCTGGCATCTCTATAACTCTCATACTCTGATCCTAGTCCTACCTTTTGGAACAATATAGAATGAACCAATCCCTTTTCTGTCATTGTTCTTTAAGACAATGTATTTCCTGAGACGGAGCACCTGTTTCGTTAACAGCTTCTCTAGTAACTTGTTTTACAGATTCTGTCATCCTGACCTACAGAATATGCTTTGGTTTTGCAAAGATGATTCCAGGAAGGACATGCCACCACTGAACACATTTCCGAAGATGAAGGCACCATGGAGGACAGACTTTAAGATACCCTCCAGGATGCCCGCCTCCTGGCATTCTCCCACCGTGAAATCCCTTTCCGTGTCGGTGGGACCTGCTGCCTTCTTCTACTAATTGCACATAGCAAAGGTGATGGGATGCCACTCCCAGGATCACATTACATAAGGCTATAACGTGTCTTACTAGAAGGCTCCCTTGTTAGGAGAGTCTGCCTGGCTGGCTTTGAAGAAGCAAGAAGGGACGTCAGGAAGGCCCAAATGGCAAGGAGCAGAGGACAGCCTCCAGCCAAAATCCAGGAAGAAACCGGGGTCTTCTGTTCGACAAACCATTAGTAACAGTGCTGCCCACACCACGTGAGCTGAGAGGCAAAGCGGAGCCTTAGATGAAATGCAGCCCCAGCTGACATCTTGGATGCACCCTTGTGAGATCCTGAAGCAGAGAACACAACTAAGCTGTACCCAAACTCCTGACCCACAGAACACAAGAGATAACACATGGGTTGTTTTAATTGAAGTCTGGAGTCATACTGTCATGTAGCAACAGGTAACTCATACAGTCACGATATCAACATATACGAAAAGGCACCAATAAGCCTTCTTGGAAAAGACGAGTTTTCAAAATACAAATTTTCCCTCCAGGTAAAGTCATTCTGAAAGCAAATGATATGAAAAACCAACTCGAGTCGAATAGGAAACCTGTTTGCTAGCACTTACGGATCATGTACTCAGGTCTACCATGCAGGAGATCGTTTATTTACCTGCTGTACTAAAACACAGAGCTCTGTCAAGAGCAAGCGAGATAAACAACTAAAGCAAGAATATTGCACATAATTTTGAAGTTTCTTGTGTGGATGCAAAAATAACAAAGAGACTTTCTGTTGCTGAGGAGAAAACTATACTTCAACTGTTTATTTCCCTTAATTTTCTGAAGTCATTTTGAAATAGCCTGTGCCAAGTATATCTCAAATTGAGGTATGAGAAATCATTTTAAGATTCAAACAATTTATAGGCCAAATGAATATCCTATGTCAATCTTGCAAATAAAGACAATACATGAAAAAGAAAACAAAGAGCAAAATAGCAAAGTACGCTACTTCCAGAATCAGGATCTATTAAAAGCAAAAATTAAGGCCAGGTCTGTTTCCCGCCTACTGGAGATGAAATTATCCACCTTCTGGAATATGTATGTTTTCTTTGATGCATGAAGACACATGTCAATAACTCTTAGAAAAGTTCCATCACTACACAGATTTTCACATTTCTAATAACTCAAGCTAATTCTCTTGTGCTAGAAACTCAACTAGTTTAAGTAGCAATGTTAATATTCAAAAATCGGATACCAAATTTCCAGGATTAAGATCCGTAAATAGTAAGAAATGAAGGACTGTGTATCTGGAGACAGGATATATACTTTAGCCAAACGACTTCTTAAGAATGTATTTTTCTCTGGGAACAACATATACAACTGGAGAGTCTTGTCCTGCAGAAGAAACTGTGGGTGTGAAGAAGGAAGGACTAGTACAGAAGTGCAGGGCTGCTGGCTTTCCTGGTCCCAGATGTGATGTTGTTACTCTGTGATGTGAACGGTCATGTCCTTGGCTATTACAAGGACCAATGGAAGCATTAAAATAAAGAAATAAATTACAAAAAAAATACCAGATGACCTCTTATTAAAAAAATAGATGGAATTATACTCATAGGTTTTGAAAAGGGTTTTATTTACCATTTCACTTACACCATGCTTAAGTGTAAATGCTAAAAATAGGAATGCATGCATTAATAAACCTTGGTTTTTATACTTATTTCATTTATTCTCAGAAAAAAGAGAATTGTGCATTAACCTACAGAGTTTTAGATCTTATTTGACGTGACTTTATGATGAATTTAGGCAGAGCAATAAACACTTTTTAAAATTTCCTTCCTGCCCTAAAATTACCCTCAATTACTTACATCTCTGTATCCATCCACCAGATTCCCAGAAATGTCTCCTGCAATGTCTCGACAACCAGCGGGGCAGAATTTGCTGGAAAAAGGAAATAAAGAATTGATATTTTATTAAATTACACTTAAACTAAAAAGTATAAATTATACTTAAATGTATTTTCTCTCCTCCATAGAACATGCAGGAAGGAATATGTTGGGTTTTTTTAATTTTTTTTTAAGGATTCATTCATTTGAGAGAGAGAAAATCCTCAAGCAGACTCCCCACTGGGTGCAGAGCCTGACATGGGCTTGATTCCAGGACCCTGAGATCATGACCTGAGCCAAAATCAAGAGTCAACCCCTTAACCAACTGAGCCACCCAGACACCCCAGGCATATTTTGTTTTAATAAAAAATCAGAAACTGACTTATGAAAACACAGATTAATCTAAAATGTAAACCTGAAGGCAAGTTTTACACAATAATTATTTGTTTTATATAAGGATTCATTATTAATGCTATTAAACAACGAGCTTCCCTAATGCATCTTAATTGATTCAAAGGTGTCTAAGATATATTTTTTATTTATTTTTATTTATTTACTTTTTAAAAGTTCATTTATCTATTTATTTATTTATTTTTTTTTAGTAATCTCCACACCCAACATGTGGCTTGAACTCATGACCTGGAGATCCAGAGTTGCATGCCCTTTGGACTGAGCAGCCAAGCACCCCTCCAAGAGATAATTTTTAAAAACAAATTTCTAAACACTATACATAGCATGATCTTGTTTTTATAAAAAGATATGCTTAAAATATATAAAATAACAACTTGTGTTTTTCATGAATATAAAGAAGACAAGGAAGATTATCTCTGGATTGTCTCCAAGAACAGTATTTTGAGAAACTTTCACTTTCTGTGCCCTTTGACTCTGTAATATCTTGATTCAGTCCACTAGCACTCACTCTCCAATAATAACTTAATGGAAACCACATACGTAAATTTAAATATTCTAGTAGCCACATTAAACAGGTAAAGAAGAAAGGCAGAACTAATAAAATATCCTAGCTAATGCAATATATTCAAATTTTACCATTTCTACATGTAATGAACAAAAGTTTTTCAACAAGATATTTCTAGCCTTTTCATTTTGTATCAAGTCTTCAAAATCTGTAGTTTATTTTATACCCATAACATATCTGGATTTGGACTAGTCACAGTTTATAAGTCTTTTATAAGCCACACATGGCTAGTGATGGTCTACATTAGTTATAAATTACTTGTGTAATCAGAATAGAAGGTATACATATATTTTTCAGGTTTACTGTGATATAATTGCAAACTGTAAGATATTTTAAATGTATATCATGATGATTTGGTATATGTTACCCAACTAGTAAATTAATATATCCATCACCTCACATATATTAATATATAAATGTATATATTTAAATATACACACACACATATAACATATACTTTTGGCAAGAACATTTAAGTTCTACTCTCAGCAAATTTCAGGTATAGAAATCAGTGTTATCTGCTACAGTCATGGTACACATTAGATTTTCAGACCTTATTCACTTAATGGCTGCATATATTAATATCTCTGTATCAGATACATGACCAGTCATATCAAGGCCAATGCATAAAGACTGTATAGACTCAATTAAGTTCAATTTTGCTGTCAAATGAATTTAGGTTTGCACTGATCAGGTATTGCCATCAAATGAGTTACAAAAATCTCTTTACTTATTTTTTTTTTTAAGATTTATTTATTTACTTGAGAGAGCGAGAGAACATGAGTGGGAGGGGCAGAGGAGAGGGAGACTCTCAAGCAGACTTCACGCTGAGCACAGAACCCGGGCAGAGCTTGATTTCATGACCTGGCAATGATGACCTGAGCAAAAACCAAGAGTTGGGTGCTTAACTGACTGCACCATCCAGGCGCCCCAAAATCTTTTGACTTTTAAAGCTTTCTACATTTCACAATCACAGATGAGGGAATGTGGACCTGTACTAGTCACACACCTCATCTTACCTAAACATTACAAAATGGCTGGGCTGTAGCCTATATGGTCTGGCATCATAAGCCCACAGACCTGAGTATATTCTTTTCCGTAGGACAGGAAAGGACCACTGATGTCCAGAGGCCGTATTGCCATTGGGACTCTGTAGGTATGGCTGGAAAGATCTCAGAGAAGGCTGGCATTTGTCCATGATGAATGAAAGGCAAGTTTATAGGGCAAATGTAATTATTGGTCATTTTAATTATTGTCTAATTATTTCTATTATTGGCCACTTTCTTTTTTGTTTATCTGCTAGACTTAATATTAGTTAACACTAGACTTGATTCTGCATATAAAATAATCTCATTTACTACCATGGACTCTCATGCCTGACTGTCTGGGCATACTCATGAAGTGTGTAGCCCTGGGAGAGCTACCTAACTGCTTTGTGCTTGTTTTCAGGGTCTGACAGAACCTACCTTGCAGGCCCACTGGAACATTCACTTGAGTTATTTATATGCAAAGCCTAGGGAGCTGTGACTGGCATGAAGAAAGCACTCTAAGGAGTTCTAGCTGTTGTTAGTGGTGTTACTGACAGTCCCCTCTAGACCAGTGATTCTCAACAGGGTGTGAATTTTGCCTGCCCTGGAAGACATCTGGCAACATCTGGAGACATTTTTGGTTATCACGACCGGCACACAGAGGGTAGAGGCCAGGGATACTGGTGACGGCGAATACCCAACAAGGCACAGCACAGCTCTTCATAACAAAGAATCATCTAACCCAAAATAACAATGGTGGCAAGGCTGAGAAATTCTGCTCCAGACTGCTCTTACTTTATAGACGAGGAAAGGTACTCCAAAGAGATTCAGTAATTTTTCCAGTTAAAGTAAAGCTGGAATCAAACATTTCATCTCCTATTCTCAGTAAGTTTTGCTTTTGCGAGAAAGACAAAATGAACTCCTTCTGAACATGAAGGAATTACCAAAAGTAACTTCCAAATGCTGGCCAGGTAAAAAAAAAAAAAAAGCACATTCTAGACTCCACTATGGCTCATTGGTACTCATAGTAGAACTCAGGGGTCAGCAAATTGTAGCTCATGGCCAAATCCACACTGCTGTTTGTTTTTATAAATAAAGTTTTATTGGAACACTGCCACACACGTTTGTTTACATACTGTCCATGATTGCTTTCATGTCATAGCAGCAACAGAAACTATGAATAGATACAGAAGAGACTACATTGCCTGCAAAATTGAAAATATTTACTATCTGGCCCTGGACAAAAAGTATGCTGATCTCTGCTGTACAGGAAAGCATTTCAAGTATTCATTACTTACAAAATAAATGATTTTAAAAACATTAAATACAAATAAGGTACTTCATCTGGTTTAATGTGAAGGAAAACATAATGTCCAGCAACATACGCCTGCAGCACAGCCTGGACACTGTATTTACCTGTATTCTGTCTTCAAGTAATGGTTAGCGCGTTCCAAGCACGTTATCAAATCTGTCATAAAAAAAGATAATTGCAATAAGGAAACTGAATGGAAGGATACTCATGCTCAAAAAAAAAAAAAAAGAATTTTAAGTAATTTTAAATAAAAAAAGGATTTAAAAAAAAATTTTAAAGATTTTATTTATTTGAGAGAGAGTGAGGTGTAAGAGAGCACAAGGTGGGGGGTGGCGGGGGAGAAGTGGAGGGAGAGGGAGACACAGACTCCCTGTTGAACAGGGAATCCAATGTGGGACTTGATCCCAGCACCCTGAGATCATGACCTGAGCAGAAGGAAGAAGCTTAACTGACTGAGCCACTCAGGCTTAAAAATGGATTTTTAAAAAGCATTTATTCACTATCTAGTTATTATCTGAATTTGTCCACTTAAAAATAAATTAAAACTGAGAATACTGTCTTCAGGATTTAACCTATTTCCTCCATTTCTCATTTCTACCACCAACCATGGTTTTTCAGCAATTGCCCAGTGAAGGGTAACAGGAATTATTTCAAACAGAAAAACCAACACTGGTTCATTACTGTCCACCACATGCCTACAAAGATCATGTGTATAATAACCTCCCTTGGCAAGAGGAAAACAATTTCAAAAGCCTGATGTAGTTCATAGAGAAGGCTTGGGAACATTTTAACTTAGCAGTTTAGCTAGAGGCATCTGAATGACCATGGAACCACATGTTTATTGAGAATATAACCTTTCCACTCTGATCAGTCAGGACCAAGGACTTAAAAAAAGAGAATGCTCTTTGGAAAACAGAACTGAATGAACACCCAGCAATGGGCATGCTAAAATGCAATGGATTTTAATGCGTTTAGATCAACCTAGGATAGTTTCCAAAATATTCCACACTAGCTGCAAAAATTCTTTCTTTCCTTAACATATTCAGTTAGGGAGCAACATATGGTGAACGCTCAACCTGCTGGGGTCTGTTGGGATTGGCCAGATTTGATTGGCTGAGAGGGAAATGAAGGTGCACCCCCTTTCTAGAACATTTCTGCCAGCAGGGACCGAGAGCAGAAACTCTGGGTACTTCTGTGACCCTGGGCAGCCATGGAGTGTGGGTACAGAAATCACCCTGGAGCACAAGAGGTCATGCTTTCCTTCCTCATCAGTTTTTATACTCCCCTTCTCTCTTGCTCAAGTGTCAGCTCCAAGGTTAAGGCACACTGTGACAGTGACTTCACATGTGACTCACACTCCCATGCTTCCTCCATGCTGGTGCACTGGTGTATGTGACTGGATGCAGGGCGTGGAGGGCAGAGATGCCACTGGTTAAAAGACTTGTTCCCTAGGCTAAGAAATGTTGGGGAGGGCTCCAGAGAATAACCAGACCTTAAAAAAGCCCCAAAGATGCATCACCCAAGGTTTCTAGGAAAATGAGATCAACCTCTCTCACATAGGTCAGCTGATCAATCTAACATGCTTGATAAAAGTATTCCAAGTTCAGACCTAACTGCTTACAAAGACACAGCATCCTTCTCTTTCTTCACATATTCTATACTAGGTCACAATTCTGTCCCGTGATGGTGATAAAAGGAGCAAGAGGAATTCTCAGACAGACACAAGTTGACAGATCTGGCCACCTAAATCTGTACCACCAGATCTTCTGCTATACCTGGATGGTCACTGCTGGCATAGGTCAGCAAAAATCCCCGCCCCGAAATGTGGGATCCACTCTCAAAGCGAACAGTGACTTCATTCGTGTTCAATAGGAGTTCTTTGGGGACAGGCAAACTTCCACAATACGGTCCTAAAAACAAAGCACACTTTTGGCAAATTGAAAACTTAGACCAGCACAAAGAATTGGTATATGGTATTTTTTTTTCCTTAAAGGTGAATTTTAGAAGACAACACATATTTAAGATTGCAGTTGTTACCCAACTGAAATTTTGCTTATTATTAGAACTTATAATTAGTGTCTAAATGTGGACTTGATGATACTGACAAGCTAAGGGGTGGGGGTGTGGCTAAATCTAGATAAGCAATAGGCTGAACTAGCTAATTGTAAACGACCCAAGAGATAGGTTTCAGTTTTTGTAAAAGAAGACTAACAAAGGCCAAATACATTAGGTAGTCAAGAAAATGTTTTCACAGAGGTGATATTCTAGGGGTCTCCTGAATTTGCTAGAAGAAACTCACAAATATTTTTTTCAAGGAGGTTTCCAGAATTAAAAGACTGTTCAATGCATGGTAACAATCTTATTCTCATGCAGTTTACACATTTATTTCTCTCTTACAGTACCTTTTGGTTTACCCATATAATTTATTTTGATTTGCAAAATGAAGTTTATAAAAAACCAGAAGAAATTTCTAAAGGGTTTTGAAATACTGTAGTATAACTTATGCAATTAAGAGTACATCATTTCTAGAATAAGTTAGTTGAAAAGCAATAGGAAGCTCCATGAACTTTCAAAGGACAAAATCAGATTTGGAACTAAAAAAGAAAAAAAGACCTTCCTCAAACTACTCAAGTTTAAGTTTAGTTTGTAAACAGTCCTCTTGAAAATCATGTATGTAAGACATAGTAATTCTAAGAAAATAGGGATTAACAAGCGAAGTTTGAAGACAGGGGTTCTTCATTAACTTCTCCCCAAATAAAACAGTATGGAAGGAGTCAACAGCAACATCGGGTTAACAGTCCACAGTGACAGCAGTGTCGACAACAGGTTAAGGAAGGAGGAGGGAAAGAAAAAGGTCTGGAAGAGGATGAGGAACCCCCCACTAAGCATCTCTCTCCTGTATATGGGACCGGACTTCTCTTTTGTCCTGTCCAGGTCTCACATTTGGAAGATGTAATTGAATAAAAGAGAAATGTTGTGTGTTTATTTTCATGCCTCAACTCTCTGTTGTTCCCTATTATTATAGTGCAATCCAAATTAAAAATGATGACTTACCTCTTTAGAGATTACTCATCATGTACAATTGTTTACATGAAATAGTAGCAAACTGCTTAGAATAGCACCTAGCATATAAAGAGAGCTGCAGAAGTACTTAGTAATTAGTATAAGTAGTTAAATCAATAAATGAATGAATGAATACATTAAGAGAAACAAATAAATAATTTCTATTTTCCTTTTAGACTATGTTCCGTGGGGTGAGAAACTTTTCTATCCATCACTTTATCGCCTGCAGCTTATACGAGACCTGGTATGTGGTGGCCTTTCAAATATTGTTAGAATTGGAATAAAGTAAAATGTTCTTCTGTTTGTAACAGTTTTGAAAAGCCAAACCTGATTATAAAGATGCATGAAAGATTTAATCCTGGTATTATAAAAAATCATGAAGAAGTCAGGAAGAGAAATGTGGAAAAACAAGAAAGGAAAGAAAATCACTAGTGTAATAAATATATGGCTGTTTGTAAACTTTAACAGTGCTTGCAGCATGGTAGAGAAGCAATTTATATTAAATCCATTTTTTGGTAGAGTTATGTAGAATAAACATTTTTTCACAATTAAAGTGAGTCAGGTTACCATACTTGACTTTTGCAACTTTGTTTTACATATGTTTGAAATTCCTTTGTTCTCTGCACAGATCAGTGCAAATCTAAGAATAAAAATGAAATAACAAGTAACGTGTTGCTATTGGTAATCAGAATATTTTTCTAACCACACTTATCTTTCCCAGGAGGAAATAATAGTGTATATACTCATCTCCAAACCATGATAACGATACAAATCCCTCCTCCAGTTTCTGTAGCATTCCAATGAGTCCTAATAAAAACAGTGAGGGAAGCAAATCTAAACTGATGATCAGTGAGAACTTGTTTGGATTTTTCTAGTTCAAATACATTTTGAACTAAATTATATATGTAATTTTAAGGTGTACTGTATATTCATTTGATACACTGGTATACTTTAATACAATTGTCATTATAAGGATAATTAGCACCTCCATCATGTTACATAATTCTTTCTTTTTGTAGTTGGAATAATTAGGTCTAGTCTCTTAGTAAGTTTGGCGATTATACAGTTGACCCTCAAACAATGTGGTGGTTAGGGATGCCAACCCCCGCGTAGCTGACCGTGTAGCTGAAAACCCATGGATAAACTTTGACTTTCCCAAACTTTTTTTTTTTAAGAAATTTATTCATTTTAGAGAGAGCACAGGCCCACTTGGGAGTGGGGGAGGGTGGGCAGGGGTTAGGAAGGTGGGGGAGGGGCAGAGGAAGAGAGGAACTCTCAGGCAGAGTCGGGAGGATGGGGCCCAATGGTGGGTGGGGGGTGGGGGGTTTCAATCCCAGGACCCCAAAGTCATGACCTGACTGAAAATCAAGAGTTGTTCACCCCACTGACTGAGCCACCCAGGTGTCCCTCTTGATTGTCCAAAAACTTAACCACTAACAGCCTACTGTTGACCAGAAGCCTTACCAGTAAGAGAAGCAGTCAATTAACACATATTTTGTATATTATATATATTATATACTGTATTCTTATAATAAAGTAAGCTAGAGAAAAGAAAGCATTAAGAAAATCATAAGGTAGAGAAAACACACTTACAGTACTGTATTAGAAAAATTCATGTGTAAGTGACCTGCATAATTTGAACCTGCATTGTTCAACAGTCAATTTCAATACTGCGGTCTATATTCACTATACTGTGAATTAGATTGAGGCATATTTACTACTCATTGCAAGCCTGTACCCTTAAATAACATCAATCTACCCACCGCATCGCACCACGGTCCCCTGGTAACCACACCCTTTTACTCTGTTTTTATGAGCTTGGCTGTTTAAGATTCCACATATAACTGATACCACACAGTACTTATCTTTCTCTGTCTGACTTATCTCACTTAGCATAGTGCCCTCAAGGTCCATTCCTATTGTTGCAAATGGCAGGATGTCCTTCTTTCTCATGGCTGAATAACTGGAATTTTTTTTTTTTTTAGACTTTTATGGAACACTTGAAAGGAAAGTAAAATGTTCTTCTGTTTGTAACAGTTTTGAAAAGCCAAACCTGATTATAAAGATGCATGAAAGATTTGAAAGGAAAGCTTGCAACACCGCATATATCTTCCACAAAGAGACAAGAGCGCATGTCATCATGCTGGGTTGTTACATAATACATATAACTTCCTACCCCCCCAAAACACAAAAATATAGTAAAACTCTAATTTGGTTGTATCCCCCCACAGTCATGATAGGAATGTAAATATTCCTGGAAGAAGTGCAAAGATAAAATGTAAACACACACACTCCTTCAATGACTTTTACCCCCTCGGGCACCAATCTCTCTCCCACTCTAAGTAAACCCTAGATGGGATGGGATATACCCTCTCTGTATCAACGCAGGATTATAAGCTACTCTGTTAGGGTCCTCACTGCTCAACCATCACAAGGGGCAGAGGCAGCATTAGGCAAGCAGGGATGCTCGAAGTCCAAGTCCAACGCTTCCTGTTGTATCGCCTGTGGCAAAACATCCATTATTTCCTGTCTGAAGGCCTGACAGATAGACAGATTCCTTCTCACAGAATGGAAGTTAATAACTGCATTCTTCGAGTTACAAGGGAAAAGAGACGAAAATGGAAAAATGTGACTGACTGGTGGTAAGAGGGAAAAATAATGAATGGGAAGGCACTGAAGGAACCGACCAGTCTGTCCCAATCAACGTTTTCAGTTTTTAGCCAAACTCTATGGAGGATTATAGCTCTTCTTATGACAAAGCCATCCTCCGCCCACGCCTGGCCATACAATGTATTTCTCTGTTAGTATTCTCCATCGAGGCTTTTAAAAAGGGGCTAGCTTTTATTTCTACATTCCCAAAGACAACTCCAAAGAAAACCCGATATTAGCTTGGTGACTTCTAACTTGGATCATGGTTGTGGTCTCCGTCCCGGGCCCCGTCTTTCTGGAAGGGGTCTTCAGAACAGTAGCAGGCCTGAACAGAGGACTCGTAGTTCTGGATACGTGTGTGCTTCACACCTGGCCGTGCTGTGTGTTCTGCAGCACTTGGACTTGCTAACTTCCACCTTCTCTCCCCTCGGTCCCAGTCAGGGAGGCGGGTTCCATCTTACTCTGCCATCCCCAGTTCCCATCAGACTGGGGCACCGGGGAAAGGCAGTTCATCAAGCAGGCAGACAAATCAGGAAAAATAAATACCTCTACCTTTTGTGCAATAAAATTGGTAGCCCTGGATTGTGGGAAGAGCCCTCAGTGATGCTGAATGGAACAGTGCTGTGGCATTTGGCACTGCATGTGAGACCAAGACCTAGCAGACAATGCACTGATTCCATGCACAAAGGAAGAAAGGGCCAGGAACTGTAGGAGCTGCCTTCACTGAGCACAGTAGGCCAGTTCCTCTCAACACATCCCTTGTTTGGAGCTACTGTTCCATGAGCAGCTGTGGGGGAAACCTTTCATCTTTCCATGTGTGAATAAAAGAAAACTGTCCTACAAGGAAGAATGAACTGTCTGCCCTGGCCAAGCCCAAATTCTCTTGTTCTTCTGGCAGTCTTGACAGTCCATTCCGTACTGCGATTTATGCCACGATGACATTCTCTGTGGACTGTCGCAGACGCCACATTACAAGGCAATAACAGTTTGGTTAATGACTGCTCCAAGCCATGTCAGGAGGCTGTGTGATTTTCATCTTGAAACGGATGACACTAAGTTATTGTTTCGTTTGCGAGGATGTGTTTAAAAACTGGGGTACATGCCATTAAGAAGCAAAAATAAACACAAACCCAGGGACCGTCTCCCCATCCCGATGCATACTCTCAGTGGTGAGAAACAAGAGACATGACTCTTGAGA